GGAAAAACCTTGCGGAAATTTGCTTTGCGTAGAGGGAACATCTGGAGGCTCACGTTGAAGTTTCTCGAGAAGAATAACCGGTAACTGTTTTCGGTCCATAAGATTATTTGCTTTCGTGATTTTTTTTCAGTCGAACTTGTTTTGAATTGTAGGCTTGCCTTTCTGATTCGACAATTTTTTTTATGCATCTTTCTGATGCGTGTTGACATATATTGAGAAAACAAATAAGACAGGGCTTTAGGTTTTGCTCAACGAATTTTTACTATTTTTCGGTTTTGACAATAGGAGCTTAGACAAACTTTTAGTTTTTGTTCAACGAATGTTTACTTTTTCGGGTTCTGATGCGTTTTGACAGGTATTGACATAACAGATAAGATAGGTTTTTTTCAAAGAATTTTATTTTTTTCCGGTTTTGTTAATAGGAGTTTAGACAGACTTTTAAATTTTGTTCAACGAATGTTTACTTTTTTCCGGTTTTGTCATTAGGAGCTTAGGCATTTTTCATGAACCCGTCCGGTACACTTTCGTAGGGCCTTCACTAACTTACCTTGGGATTGTTTGACCGGTACCGGGTTCTTTTTAGAATAGCTTTGTGTTGTTAGCGTTGTTTCCTGTTCCTATAAGTAAAATCAATGCATACATGGTAGGCCTCTTACAGGTCTTTCGGCTTTCCACTTACGTCAGTCGGAGGTAGTGACGGAAGGATAATAAAACGAGCAGTGGCTCCTGGGTGTGTGGAGTTTTTCGATGGTTTTCTGTATTGTTTACTAATTTTTACTTGGTACTTGTCATTTTTTTCTTGATTATCTTGACTTTGTTGGATGACTTCGTCTTGATTCTCTCTACTTGAGCTTTGGCTGACTCTACGTATTTGCTTGAGTCAATTCATAAGATACTAAAAATATGCTTACTCACTCACTAATTTTAATTTTGTTTTCATTTTTTTTTTTTTTACTATTAATTTTTTTTTTTTTTTTTTTTTTTTTTTTTTTTTTTTTTTTTTTTTTTTTAAGGTCTGTGTTTGGTAAGTATTTTTGTTGTAATGCTAAGGGAAATGTTGTTTTCTTTGTTTTTTT